GTGAAGCAAATGGCTAAGAAAAAAGTTCCTGCAGAAATATTTACTATTGGTTGCCCTGTGCATCTGATGACTTGAACTTCCACAGGGGAAGTCTTGGAAACGGAAACTTTGCTAATATAGTGGAATGAGTACTCACAATGAACTCAAAAGGCTTGTGCTTCTTAGAGGCAAGAATGGCAAGACTCCTTACCTATGCTGACCATCTTTTTAGGAGAGACCAGTCCCTGGAGAAGGGCATCATGCTTGGGAAAGTGGAGGGCAGCCCCCAAAAAGGAAGACCCCCCTGCAGGAGATGAACTGACACAGTGGCTGCGGTGTGGGAATGATTGTGGTGTGGGAACAATCGTGAGGCTGGCACAGGACCGTTCCGTGTTTCCTTCTGTGGCTCATAGGATCCTATGGGTCAGAACAGACTCCATGACACCTAACCACAACAACAACAGTGGAAAATATTCTGTTGTTCTTCGAACACATGAATATTCCAAAGGAAAGATTTGGGTCCTTTCTGGTATATCAGATATACCCAATAACCTTAAATGGTAAAAAGTATATGGCAGTTTACTTTCTTAAGTGTTTTGATTTTATTAAGGTATTTTAATATCTAAGTATTTTCAAATGAATGCTATCAAAATCAAAAGCAAGATCCCTTGCCACCAAGCCGATTCCTGGCAGCCCATGTGTGGCAGGTCTTCCCGAATAACTAAAGGATCTGAAGAAGGCACATCGATTTTAGCTGAAGGTATGGGTGACATTTGAAGAGCAATGATAATTAGTGAATTTTCAAATGAACAGAAACTTCCTCTGGCGGTTGCTAAGGTGCTTTGACAGCGCTTGGTAGCGATGTGCTGAGATGAACGAACAGGACAACAGAAGGCTCCAGGGGACACTCGTCGTGGTTCCCAGCACAACTCCACTGCTGCCTGGAGATCTGAGAATAAACCCTTTCAAGTGGACGTAAGAAAGGGGATTTCGTCAGTAGCAGCTAGGGACCTCACTATTGATCAGTGAGACAACCAAGTCCGGCTCCAAGACTAACTATAAAATAGTTTGTTCCTCTGTCTTGTGATAATCACTTCCATGTTAATGTCACATGGTTCTAGACAAAGCAATTGTTTTAGCAACTGTCCCTTGTTATTCCCAAATATTGAAGACTTAAACGTATATCTTTGTAACATAGTTGCATTTGTGACACTTTTGTGACATGATAGTCATATGCCCTAGTAATTCATTCTCTGGGAATTAAGTCCAATAAAATAAAAGTGACTGTTTAAAATATGTTCGTTGCTGAAGTAGCTTTGATTATGTGTCACGTGGCTTAAAGACAATCAGTGTTTCCAAAAGGAGGCAAACACGCACACCTGCTGAGGTGGTGCTAGAAGGAACATGACAAGGCAGACTCTCCGCTTGTTTGCTGCTATACCCCGAGCACCTAAGGGAGCATCTGTCACTGTGAAGTAAAACTTAGTACTCTTTGTGAAGAAAATGGTGCCACTTCAAATACAGTTGTGATGGCTTGGTTTGTATATAAACATAGTGTTCCCCAGAGCAACATTGGAAAGTAGGAGGTCTAACTTCAATCTCCACCTTCCATATTCTTCCAAGCCCCACACTGTTCCTGCCAGACATCTACTAATTTTTAAATCAATATATTTATAACATTTAATTATGCTCACTACGTGCCAGGAAATGGGGTATGATTCCCACTTATTAGCTCACTTAATCTCCACAGAAATGCTAGAAATAATGTTATTATATTGAATGGATGAGAAAAAAACTATTTCAGAAAGTATCTTGATTATAATTTTAAAAAGGGAAGACCATGGGATCAGGCCTGCGTTAGTCTGGGTTGGCTAGAGAAACAAATTCATAGGCACTCACGTGTGTATAAGAATGAGCTTTATTTACAAGAGCAATTGAATATTAAGAAAACATGACAGCCCAATCCGGATCAAGTCCATAAATCCAATATTAGCCCATATGTCCGATACCAATCTATAAATTCCCCTTCAGACTCATGAAACACATGCAATGACGTGAAGTGCAGGAAGATGACAGGCCAGTGGGTGGTAAGTCTTGTGGATGCAGTGGCGGTGTGAACATCTCAGCACTCGCAGGGGTCTCCACGTGGCTCCTCCAGCTGCGGGCTCTGGTTGCATCAGCACAGCTCCATCAGGCTTATCATCAGTAATGTCTCACAGTGACATTACTATGTCCCACCTCCAGGGTCCCACCTCCAGTCAGCTGTTTATCTTCGTAGGTCATGAAGCTGTCATGAACTGAGGTCTTGAAGCTGTCACCTGATTGACAGGCTAAATTCCACCCCTTCACTCTTAATCCTCTCAAATTTACCACAGATTATGCAACTACCAGAAGGCCTCAACTCCCTCTGACTAGAAGCTCTGACCTTGATCATCTAATCATAAGCCTTTCTCACTGCTACAGAGAAAGGACAGGCTGTTTATCTTTTCTTATAACTTGAAGTTTCTGCCTTACTTCTCAGTTCCCTTTTTCACTCCACAAATGCCAGAAGCCCATCCTCTATGTCAACACTGGAGTCACACGAGATAGCTAACTTCTCTTATAATGCTGCCATATAAATAAGTTTCCGTCTGTGTTCCCTTGGCCAAACATGGGAAACATAAGCCTTTAATCTCTGCTGTGCAAAGGCAATGTCATCTACACATGTAATTCAGGTTATCAGCAAGAAGTGGAGAAAAATATCCCTGGAAGTAAATATAATTCTATGTATTCCACACTGCTTATTGCACTTTGACTGATTCATCCCGCACTAAGTGAGGCATTGGCGTACAAGTGTGAGGAGACTCTTTGCCTTCCCAGAACTGATGGAGGCCACGGAGAGAAGGCGCTGTGTGCTCACTGGTCCTAATGAATCCACATTTGTGCTGTGGGGCCCACAGAGAAGAGATGGAATCCGCTTGAAAAGGCTGTATACATTTTAACCGGTTACTTCTATAAAGGGATTTTAAAAATAAATAATAATTTGGGAAAGGAAAAAATAAAGGGAGCTAGAATGACAGCAATAACACTAAGTGCCAAGGTAAAGAAATGAATCATTGAATTTGTGTCTGGGGACCGGCAAAGAGTCAGTTGACCTACAATGTGGGGTGGTGATGGGAGAAATAGGAATCCTCACAAAACTATTAGAACCAGTAGGGTCACACCAAGTGCCAGGCTTTGTGTGGAAAGCACCCCTTCAGGCCTACAATGCAATGACTAGTGGATACCCTTAACCATCTTCCTATTTGATCCCTTATATTAAGGGGATTCAGTAGTTTCAAAGAGACCTGGATTCTTGTAATAAAAAAAGTTTCAGATGCATTTTTAAAAACTCAGGCATTGACATATTACAGGAAGAAATACGTTTTATTAAAGTAAGGATGTCAGAAAAGACTCTCGAGCAGATTGCTCATTATAGAATAGCTAAGACAAATGGAAGAAGTGGAATTATAGGGCTAAACAGAAACTTGTAAAGGGCCACTTGGGAAGACAAAGTAAAATAATGTAATGAAATATGTAAAGACTTAGGGTTGGAAAACCTAAAAGGAAGAACACACTCAGCATATCTTAAACTGAAACAACTGAAAAAAAAGTCAAAAGGCTGCATACAGCAGGAAGCGTCAAAAGGAGATGGAAAACCAGATCAGGCCCAGCCTGCAGCAGAGAGGGATCAACTGACAAAGTTCTGTTTAAGCCAGATTTATGGCTTTGATCTTCTATACTCATCTTTCCAATGTATCCTGTTTATTAACAACTTTCCTCTCACCCCTGAACTGTGGATAGAGGGAGTTCACCAGAAGCTTCTTTCCTCTGTAGTTCCCACAAATGCATCTTGGGCTCTCACTGTCATCCATAGCCTTCTGCAAGCTGGATTCTCACAATTTAGGCTCTGGTACTAATCCCTCCTTCTACTTCAGATTATATGGATTCCAATCCTTCAGTGACTGGTTGTGGTGTGCCTCTTCCATGTGGACTTAGTTGACATCTCACTCAGATGGCTGCTTGTTTGAAGACAAGCCTTTAAGACCCTAGACACTATTTTATTTGATAGCCACGCACCATTTAAATTCTTCACTACATTTTGCTATAACATCCAGTTTATTTTCTGTGTTCTCTTCTAAGGGTGAGCATTGAGCAGGGCCATGATGCAAGAACCCATTGTTCTTAAGTTGGAGCTAGGATTTAGTGTGAGCCCAAAACCCATTCCTGGAGATATATATATATATAAAATTAATTGGGAGTTGATACATATATCATTCGATATTGTGGTAGCAATTATACAATTCTGCTTCACATGATAGAGCTATGGAATTATATACGTAACTTCCAATTAATAATAATTTTTTAAAGATGGAGAGAATACAGTCATTGTACCAAAAATAAGCAGAGAAAAAAGTGAAGTTGTCAAGAATTTCATCTTGCTTATAGAAGCAGCAAAGAGATCAAAGATATATTGCATTGAGTAGACCTGCTGCCCAAGACCTCTTTTGAGTATTCAAAAGCATGAGTGTTACCTTGAGGACTAAGATGTGCTTGGCCCAAGACATGCATTTTCCATTGCTTTGTATGCGTGAGAAAGTTGGACACTGAATATGGAAGACTGAAGAAGAATGGATGCGTGTGAATGACGGTGCTGGTGAAGAGTATTGGCAGTACCATGGACTGCCAAATGAACAAACAAATCTGCCCTGGGAGAAATCCAGCCAGCACTTTGCCTCAGAGGACAAGGTCTTACAAACTGTGGACAGTTGTCAGGACAGGTCAGTCCCTGGAGTAAGGATCATGCGTGGTAAATTAGGGGGCAGCGAAAAGAGGGAAGCCTTTAACAAAATGAGTTAACACAATGACTGCATCAATGGGCTCAAGCGCAAACACCTCTGAGGGTAGGGCCGGACCGGGCAGTGGTGAGTTCTGTTGTGCATAGGCTTGCTGTGAGTCAGAGCCCAATGGATGGCAACTAACCATGACAACAGTCAGGGGGATCAATAGTATGCAACTTAGTTTAATTGTTTTGTAAAACAGGCACTTCCAGTGTATCCTGTGAAATAAAAAAGTTATAAAATAAGTATAATGTTTTTTGTTATTTCTGCTGATGTTCCGTGCAATTATTACTCACATTATACTAACACATGTCAGTACTCTAAGGAGAAGCAATTCAAGTAGGGGCTTAGAGGATATGGAAATCTGTGACCTACTACAAGAATAGATCCCCAAAAGGGTTGGGGTTAGTCTGCTTAAATTCATTCCACTACGTATGTGAATAATTGAATACGTACTATTTTTCTTAAATGTCTTCAATAATTATCTAAAATGGCAAAAATAGAACCAGTAGGGAGAAAGATAATACAAATTTCTAAAAGTCCGTCATGCTTTTTTTCCAAAAAAAGAGAAATATTGTAGAAACCATTGTATTAGTAGTTTGAATCTGAGTTGGATTTCTCTCTTTCTGGAATACTAATTTACTTTTGGAAGGAATTCTAAAGTCTTCCGACTAGAGATGATCAGGGGACTAAATCTATAGTGCAGCCTGGGTTCATTCTAACACAATGATGCTCAGCCCTTGTTCTCCTCACCCTCCGACAGGCAATAGCACACAGTCGGTGACAGCACAAGCCCACAATTACATGAACCGAAACTCCTAGTAGTCACCTTTGATTTCACTCTGTACCACATGCCCTAGATTCAGTGATCAGTGGAGGTAGTAAAAATAGATACAGAGAGAGGACTCAATGAAATTCAACATTCATGATTTCAAAAGAAAAAATAACTATTCTGAAAATCAGATATAAAAGTTCTCTTACTTGATAAATGTGTCTACCAAAAATTTGCAACAATATATGTTGCTGTACCATAAAATTAAGAATGACTACTAATCAGTGCCATCATTCAACATTTTACTGTAAGCCTGAATGAACAGAACAGAAAGGAAAAAAGTACATGCATTAAAAAATATCTTCACATATGATATAGTCATTTGCATTAGAAATCCGAGAGAATGCACAAACCAGGGAAATTACTAAGAGAATTATACCAAAAATACAGAAATTAATCTTTTAAGGAAGGTTTTGATTTCTTAGAACTTCTCCCTATATTTATAAGAATACATGAGCTAGTCATTTATTTTTTTTAAATCTAAATTTAATTGCAAAAAATTTCTAAATGATGCAATTATTTTATTAAAACTAAATCTTTGTTTTAGCATTCTCATGATTTTACTTCTAAAATTAAAAATACTAAAAAACCAACAGATTCACTTAATAATGCATCAATTAAGATTTAAGCAAGAATGAGTTAAGTGATTAAAAATTATCCTCTTAAGAATAACCCATATTTTTATTGGATAGATCATATTTTCAACAAGAGTATAAATTAAATTAAATTTTTAATCTTGTAGCTAAGATACCTATATCTTATATCCAAACGTTATTCCACAAACAGGTACTTTAAATATATTTAATTTAATAAAAATTTAGATCATCAAAGATATCAAAGATTTGGGCATAGTTAAAAAACAAAAACAAAATAGACAAAAATTATGCTTGCCTACCCCATAATTCACAAAGAATTATATATTAATTTCCATAAACTGACATTAGAAATAGAGATACTTTACACTTTCCATGAACAACAACTTTTAAATATTAGTGAATGTACTTTCTGTACAACTGTTTCAAACAATCATTATAGGAAATGTGGTCAAGATTCATAATTGCACAAATTTGATTGATCTTACATTTCATATTACAAATTGCATCACTGTCATAACTCACAAAGAAGTGATAGTAGTATTTCAGAAACTTTCTACTGTCTTGCATTGCAAATTGTTTAGCTAAACTGTATAAGCTTTTTGGCTGCAAATCTTCAATGCCATAGGCCTGTGTCAGGATGTATTCCAGTGTCCAGTTGGATTCTCCTTTCATATTGGCCTCGGTCAGGTTCAGGTAATACTGCAGCATATCCTGTAGGTAAAAACAATAACAAAGTTTGGTTCATTCCTTAGCATATAAAGCATTACACAAGATAAGTTAGTAGAATTTATGTAATATCATAGTATAATACATAGTAATATTAGATATATCATAATAAAATTGTAGTCATTTTAAAAAGAAGTGAAAATGGGTTTTAAATAAGAGCATCTTGCTAAAAAGTCTTTATCACTTTTTTAATCTTAAAAATAAGAAAAGCTCAACATCAGAAATCTATCAAAGTAATATGCCACGTAATAGAAAAAGAAGAGAGGGAAATGTAGGATCGTCTCAATGAATGCAGAAAACATTCAGCAAAACAACACCCTCTCCTGATACAAACTCTCAAAAAGCTAAGAATAGAAAGGAAGTTCTGCAGCATAATTATAGGAACTTGGAAGAACCAACAACCAACATTACAGTCTACGGAGAAAGATTAGAGCCTGACCCCTGAGAACAGGAATGAGGTAAGAATGCCTATTATCACCACTCTAGTCAATATCATACTGGAAGTCCCAGTCACAGACATAAGTACGATGATGATAACGATGATGATGATAATAATAATAATGTATCCAAATTGGAAAGAAGTAAAACAACTTCTACTTGCAGGTGACATGACCCTATATCTAGCAAAGCCCAGAGAACCTACAAAGAAAGCTTCTAAGATGAAGAGAATTCAACAAAGCAGAAGCCATCAGCTCACCACACAAAACCAGTTGAGTCTATACCTATCCGCTCGCAAGAAGACATCTGAGAGGGAACTCAAGAGAACAGTTCAATCACAGAAACACCTGCGAGCAAACCAAAAATCCTAGGGTTAAACTTCACCAGAGATTGAAATATTTATACAATGAAAACTAAAAACCCCTGCAAGAGACTAAACTAGACCTAAATAAATAGGAAGACACTCTATGGCCACACGTTGGAAGACTTAATATCGTGAAGATGTCAATACTGACCAAAGGGATCTAAAGATATAACACAATCCTTATCAAAATTCCAACCACATTTTGTAGACACACACTCAAAAGAACCCAATCAAATGAAGAGACGGTGAAAAGTTTTTGATCTGACTTTGTAATGCAGTCTCTGGGTAGCACACATGATTAAGTACTTGACCACTATCTGAATGGCTGAGAGTTCAAATCCACCCAGAGAGGCCTTCGATGGCAGGCCTGGCAATCTTCTGAACGTTCCCAGCCTCCACATTCCGATGAAGCAGCTCCACTCTGCATCCATGGGCAGCCATGAGTCAGAATGGACTCACGGGTCATCAACAAGAACAACAACAATGGCCTAGTCTCAACGTGTCTACAAATTTGCAGATGTAGCCTAAATTGGGTGAAATCTAAATAAATCTGAAGTTCTGACACAGAAATAGCATCCCAAAAGTTGGACTCATAAGCACACACGTAGAAAGTGCTGACAAATATTCCTAACATCAAAAAGAAGAGAGAAATTGTTAGTTGAAACTACAAAGCACTGTTCATATAGCTATGTTTAGAAACATTAGAAACATCTAGCTAGAGGGCACAGCAAACATATGCACAAATATGAAGTCAGCTCTAAATTGGTAATTGTGCCAACTTACCAATAAGTGATAATCCCGACGATCATACTGAAATAGTCTGACCCCAGGATAGTTGGTCTCCTTTTGTCTGACACCCTTCACGGGAGTAACAGCAGGAGCCACAAATAGAGAACTTATTGGATTTCCTGGACAAAACATATATATATTTTACAAACAACAATGCTGAATTTAACTCTATTAAAGTAAGAAAAGAAAAACCATGCCTAAACTATGCATGACATCAAGCGCTTCTGAGGGGCCAGAGACAACTGTAAAGAGACTGGGGTTTTTCCTAGGCTCTAGTATTAGGTAATACCAAATAATTATTTTTTGTTATGTAAGTCAATGTCTATATATTTTAGCACTGCTTACAGAGGTATGTAGCCTCAAATTATCTCATGTTTGAGAGTTACTTTAAAGTAAGTAAGGTAAATAAGGCAAACGTTTCATAAATGCTGAATGAGTCAAGGGTCCGTGGGAATTTGTTGATCTTTCACTCTGCTCTCATACATTTGAAAGCTTTCCAATTAAAAGGAGTATAAATCCATTGCAAGTGTACACACACACAAAATACAAACCTCGCTTGCTGTGCACCTCTGCCTAAAATAATATTCCAATATAAGAATTTGATTCAAGTGTCATTTATTTCATGTACACACACTCATATACATATGAGAGCCCAAAGGTATAGATACACATATTTTTATAACATTAAATTTCATTCTGTAAGAAAAACTGTTCAATACATTAAAATATGTCATTTTACCTTATATGTGAAAGAAGTACGACACATTTTTAATTCTCTAATTACTGAAAAAAAGGCATATGAATTTTTATTCTGACTAATTTAATATCAAAGCACTTACTGCATTAATGATCGGCTCTCTGCCTTCTTAAAATAGTAGATAATCTAAAGTGCATTGTTCATTAGAGTTTAATATACTTTATTTCAAACCACTGATAAAAATTACACTTGACTTTTTTTAATTCTTGGAAGTAAAATGAATTTTAAAAATACACAAAAATCCTTGTCTTGCCTCACAGTTAAGTAATAAGCAGTAATATTTCTCTAAACTTAAAGATCCAAAAGAAAATTTAAGTACACTGAGTTTCACAGATTTTTGTTGAACACAATTAAGTAATGATAACCCTGTAAGGTGTACACTGAAGAAACCAAATTGCAAACCTCATCTTCTGACTGGGCACTCACCAAAAAACAATTTTGAGGGAATTCAGAAAAAGCTGGTGGTGCTGGCAATTTAATAAAATAAAACTCTCAACTTCCTGAACCTTTCCTGCTATGCTTCAACATCTCGGAGTGGAGTGATTCAAACAATATAGTACATTACCTTTTTCATCTGAAAGAACCATAATGCTATCTCTGTGTGTGTGTCCGAAAAATTGTCCTGCAATGACATCACTGTATTTTCTAAAAATATCTATCAACTTCTCATTATAGTATTCTCTTAATGCCGTGGTGTTCTGGGTGAAGGGCAAATAGCCCACCGGAACATGTGCTATGAGGTACACCTGGAAGAAGACACACAGGGCGAGTGAGACGGTTTGTGCATTCATCAGAGCTAAGTGGCATCTCAATGTCCATGACTGGAAATATAGTCACTGAAATCTACAAACAGAGTCAATCATCTCTTCTATTTTACAAAAAGAAAGAGTCAAGATTTTAAACTATAGGTTAAGGTCACAATACTTGCACCCTATGTAAACTATACTGTTAGCAATGTAACTATGACCTTGATCACAAAATTTAAAAATAGGTCCTTCTTTATAGTTAGAGATGCCACACAGTCTTCAAAGCAGTAAAAGTAAAAAAAAAAACAGAACAGAGAGGTCATAAAGCATTTTCTATGAAATCACAATATTTTATAAGTAACTAATTCTCAAGTTCAACAAATACACCTACTTAGCCCTCTTTTTATCCCCCAATGACTCTGGTCTATGTGATCTACCTTCTCCTTATATTGCCTAGAGCCATTCAGTGTCATTTCTAGCCATTCAAACTGATTTGCTGGGTCACTCTGGTTCATGGTCACAGCATTTGGACTGTAGTACAGGTTTGTGTTGAGACTGATGATCCGAAGGCTTGGATTAGTGGTAACTTTTTGTGAATAAAAGCCACCTATAAAAACAAATTCAAAACACATTTTATTGAAACACACAGAAATACACATAGGCAGTATAAAAGCAAATGATTAGTTAAGATCTAAAATCCAGTCAGGAAAATAGTACTTATTTCTCATGATTGTTTATGCATTCAGAGGCTATGAGAATAGAACCAGATCTGAAAAACATGCATTAAGGGACTTCTGTGCAGTGTAGTTAACATTTACCCCGAGCCACACTCGGGATTACTGCCAGTGGGTTAACCCTACTACATGTCAGGCCCAATATGCCACTGCTACACTGTAAGGTAAAACAACTATATGTAATATTCAGATGAGATGAGAAGAATAAAGTATTTATAACTGGGTGATTGAGTTATATAATCAATGAATGTGGACCTTGTAGTCATAATTCCTTATGTGTTATATTATACTTCTGGACTTTCTATGCCTGTGGCAACAGTCCCGTGCTGGAGGGCAGTGTCTACTTGTGAACAGTAACAGGAGTTACACTCTCAGAAACCCACAGGGGCTGTGCTACCCTATCCAATAAAGAGGGTATGAGACAGCATCAACTCAACCGCAATCAGTTTTTGTTGTTGTTCTTTTGTTTCTAGTACAGTATGAATCAGGCCACCCTGTTTTCCTTGGCTATCGAATGGTGCTGCCACACAATTCCAAACATCCATCGCCTCACCTGGAAAGCCAGATCTCTATTTCCTGACTGAGTCTTGGTAAGAAGTAAGACCTGCTGGAGCTTTTGAACAGTTTTGGCTTCTGGCTTCAGGCATTTGACTTGCCCCCGCCTGGTCATCGGATTTTTGACTGAACAGCACCCACCTCCACATGGAACGATTCCTCAAAGTTTGTTTTCTTTGCATGTTTTGTTGATTCCTCCAAGTTTTCTGAGTTTATGTGGGATATTGTGGCAAATCACAGAACCCACGGATGTGAGGTAATATGTATCTCAAAGGAGGAGTGTGGGGGTGGGGGGGATGGAAGTGAATAGAATTGTGAAAGAATTAGACAGGATATCATTAAACTCTAACTCCCTGGTACTAGTCTGTATTATTTCTTCTGGAAGGGATTATTACCACAGTGATAAGTTGCAGTTTGTTTGGAGCAATGCACAAACTCTTACTTTTATATTATTGGGGGATTAAGATGAGAGAAAGGCGCTTGGATGGTACAAGCAGTTTTCAATCAGTTGCTCACCTAAATGTTGGTGGTCTGAACCTAGTCAACAGCTCCATAGAGGATTACAGTACAGATTACAGTCCAGTAACCCCCACAGAGCTGGTTCAGTCTGTAACGCATGGGTGCCTGTGGGTCAGAGGCCAATTCAATGACAGCCAACAACAAAAACAAGAGGAACGATATTGCGAAATCTAAGCCCAAAGAATTTCCCTTCCCATGGGTGTTGCCAGATAAACTAGGAAGAATTGGCAGATAAATCAGAACTGCTACAATCTCATTGGAGAAGAAGACACTTAAAAGCACAACTGCAGGCAGCCTTTGCCCCGTGGTGGCAGAACACACAGGGCTGTTGGGGAGCTGGCCGCTGAGGTCTGGGTCCTGCTTTCTCTGCTTGCTTGCTTACTACCCTGGCCTTGTTTCAGCTTTCAAACAGGACTACTCACTGCCTCTTTAATTTTTTTATCCTTGCCTGTGGTTGCGAGTCAGCTTATGATTCTTACTATGGTTGTAACAAGGCAGAAAGCTTTGAATGTGCTGGGAGCTATTCTGGAGAACTTCCCACATGGCTTTCGAAGAAGAAGGCTTCAGCAGTTCTCACTCGGGCTGTGCATCAACAAAATTACAGGGCCATCAGGATGGGCCTCTGTGTATCAAACTACTTGTGCTTTTAAGGATTCTAGCATTTATCACTATGCTCCAATATTCAACTGCAAAGTTGTCCTAGATCCATCACTCTCAAACATATGGACCTTTTCCTTAGGGCTAGCATGCCATTTGTCAGGTCTTTTCTGCGCCTCTCTCTCTCTCTCTCTCTGAATGGCCTTTGAATTCAGTTATCTCTAACCATTCACTCTTTGCTTCTTCTAGTTTGTGTTTTTTTCTTTTTCTTTCTTTTTAATCATTTTAGGAGGGGCTCAAACAACTCATCACAATCCATACATACATCAATTGTGTAAAGCACATTTGTACATTCATTGCCCTCATCATTCTCAAAACATTTGCTCTCCACTTAAGC